AAAAAAAAAGAATTAGTCAATTAATATATATACTAAAAAAATGTGTAATTATTCTTAAATTACAATCTTGAAATATTATAACATGAATTATTACATATTTAAAATAGAAAAGTTTTAAATAAAAAATTAAGCCGTTCTTATTGAAACATAAAACGAGTTTTCGGAAATATTTCTCGTTCTGAAATTATCAAATAACGCATACTGCGATATTTGTCCTCAATATGTTATAGTTGTTTGAAATATATCTATCACTTAAAAGATTAATATTGCAATTGGTATTTATATATCTATCTTATTTAAAAAAATATATATTTATCAAGAATAGATGTTGAAAGAGAGAGTTATTTATATTTGTTTATCGCAAAATTTGTATGTGTACATATATATTTGTATGTGTGTATATAGCGAGAATAGCGCGCGTTGGCTAATGTATAGTTTTTAAGAGTGGAGATCACTTTTAAACTTTCAAAAAATCAATTTTCTTAAAGGTTAAACATTTTATAATATTTTTAAAATAAAACGTTTGTTACAATTTGAAACATTTACCAAGTTACAATATTTTATTGCGTCAGAGATTCACTGAAACTTTAATTGCGTGTTTTTCGAAATATTTTCGAAAATTTATCAATTAAGTGTCCAACACATTTTGTTTTTAATCTATATAAAAATTGTTAAGACAATTAACAATTCGTTAACAAAATTATTTTTAAACTAAATATAAAATTAAAAAAAAACTAAAATAAAAACTAAATAAAACTAAATAAAACTAAATATTTTTTGTCAAAAAAATAAAAGTACATAACTTTATTACTCTAATAAAAATTTGTTTTGAAAAATAAAAACATTTGTCGAAACATTCTCAGCCATGCAGCTCCGTTGTGGCGAAACGATATTGCCCGCAGTTGAAAAAATTCGCTCTGACGCAACGGATGTCGCGGGAATACATAAATATTTCTTCGCCAACAGAGCCAACTGTGGAAATTTCTTTTCATGTGATTTCCACCATTGAAGGGGATCCATATTAATATCAATTTGTGGCTCACAAAGATACAGTTGGATCTGCTGAGCTGCCGAAGTTAAATGCGTGTTTTCGGGCTTTTTAAAAAGATAGTCTAGTACGCTATTTGACAAGCTTTGTGACGATTCGGATCCTGTTGGAATAAGAGATGTTGCTTCTAGTTCAATCAGTTCTCTAATCGCGGTCCGTTGCAACATTGGTTCAGCCTGGAGATCTTTATGACGAGGATCTAAAAATGATGCTTTTTGACGAACTGATATATTTTCCTGTGACTCCATTTGGAAACGAATTGATAACGCCTCTGCTAACGTTTTTGATACGCCTTCAGTTCCACAAGAAAGATGATTAGCGATCACAGTTTGAATTACTGGACGTACCATTGATGCTGGAGCTCCGGATAGTACCGTAGTTGCAATTTCAAGTGGTTTGAGAACTGGTATTAAATTTTCAAACATACTCCATTCATCTTCATTTATTTCTAAATTTTTAGCATGCAAAGGAGTTGTCACGGTTCGATCTCCAAGAACAGCTGATAGCGCTACGATTCTCTACAAGTCTTTCAGCCATAAGTAAATCTGTATTCCATCGAGTACGAACACTTTGGATTAATTTTCGTTGAGGTAATCCTAATTGTTCTTGTTTTTTTGCAAGAGCTTGTGAAGCAATGACGGAATGATGAAAATGGGAAACAATTTTACTTCCTTTAGCAAGCACGATGGAAATATTATCTTCCTTCAACGCATCTCTCACGGCTAAATTTATCGTGTGTGCTGCACAACTAGAGCTGGATCCGACGTTCATCATGCTGTTCACTGCGAGAACAATGTTGCTTGCATTATCATGAACAATGGATACAATTTTGGTGTCAATTTGCCATTCAGCAGCAACATTTTGTAAGCTGTCAGCTAAATTTTCCGCCGTATGCCTTTCGCTAAGTTCTTGCATACTTAACGTGAATATTTGTGGCTCCCATACGTTATTTACGATGTGAGCATTCACATTCATATAACCTTCTTGAGATCGAGAAGTCCAACAATCCGTGTCCAGAGCAATAAATTTGCACAAATCTAATGTACATTGGATCTTGGTTTTTACTTCATCTTCAAGAGCACGTAAACGGCGTAGTACTGTTTGACTGCATGGGCACTTGTATCCAGGCTCGATTTCTTTCATAAATGTTTGGAAAGCAGGACTAGAAGAAAAACTAAAAGGCAGTCGGTTAAATGCGATTAATTTAACTAGTGCCCGTGTAATCTTCTCGCTGCGTTCCTTGCTAACAGATGTAATCCCACGTGCACGTTTTCGTGGTATAGTGGCCGAATCAGTGGAAGAAGTACTGACGCTTGTATTAGAGAAAGAAGATCCTTCGATTGGGTCATCTGTATCTGTGCTGTATTAAAAATAGTATATTATATACATATACATGTGTGTATAATATATATATATATGTATATATACATAGTGTACATAAAAACGTTAAGTAATTAAATTGAAAACTAAATATTAATACCAATACTCACTGTTCTTTATAATCATGCTGTTGTTTCACATGTTTTTGTGATGGCGTTAAATCATGTACTCTTCTTAAATGCTGTACTAAGGTACTTGTAGAATTATGTGTTCGAAGCACTGTATCACATAATTCGCAAGTTGCTGACTGGCCGTCAGGAGCTTTCAAGCAATATTGCCACACCCCCGCTCTTCTGCATTTTCTTAATTTGTGAACTTCTCACACTGCAAACGTATGTCACGATACTGTGATCACGAAATCGCGATACCATATTATTCAGTACTCATGTTGTCCTTGCCGTGTTTTTCAAATTTTGCCTGCTAACACTGTTTTGTTATTTACATGTATAGCAGTAGCATTGCAAGGACAACACGAGTAAACAATTATAAACGTACTGAATAATATGGTATCGCGATTTCGTGATCACAGTATCGTGAC